TATGGTTGGCTGGAACTGGTTTGAGTGATCAGCTGTGGAGACTGTTTCCTGGCGTGACAGGTCAGGCTGACCAGAGATGTGAACATTTCTGACTTTGTGCAGAGAGTTTAGCTAGAGTTGGACTCTGGGCCTGAGGATGTGTCTCTGCATAGACGGCTCTCCTAGTATGCCTGAATCCCTGATTTCAATCTCTACTTTCATATAAACTGGCTGTGGTGATATATGCCTATAATCCTAGCACTCAGGAGAGACAGGCAGGGAGAAGTTCAAGGCCATCCTTTGCTATATAGCAAGTTCAAGGACAGCTTGTTCCTAAATGTAAGGTCACACAGATTCTAGAGCTTGGAGGTGAAGAGCACTCTGTTCCTTGCTTGAGCCTGAATATATGACGCCCATCTCTGGCCTGAAGGATGCCACAGATTTGGAGGTTCAATGGGCTATCCCAATCTCCTGATGCTTACAGTAACTGTATGAGGCATGTGCTAGCATCCACATCCTCAGGGAAGACAGAGGCACAGGGAAGTTGGATGGTTAGGTGGAGGTCAGCCAGCTTTGTCACAGACAGAATCAAGAATTTAACCAATGTTTCCCTTTCCTTCCTAGATACCAAGCTACACCTGCATGTGAGGAGGTGCCCTGGGCTGAGTCCTGAGGGTGTCACACAGAAGGAAGAACACCACATCACAGGCAGGCACTAGGAGCTGGGCTGTGATGAGGAGACCGGCGTCTTGTTAACGCTGTTGGTTTTCCCACAGTGAGACAGATAATCCCACCAATACAGACACTGACTGGGGCCAGGCCTTGTTGAGTGGGAGAACTGTACTTATTTCTGCTTCTAGCTGTATTTCAAGGATGAGCCAGTGAAAGGAAGGTAGGTACTTTCCAAACATCCAGTATCAAGGGTCCTGAGTTAGGAAAAAATCTAACTGGCCAGGTGTAGTCTGCCATACATGTCCACTCTCACATACATAGAACAGACTGGCTTCTGTTTAGGATTGATAAATCTGCACTGGAGAAGATGGGTATACTCAGAAGAAGGGGGCAGTGGGTCACAGCAGTGGTGTGTTGAGAGTCATGCAAATAAATGAAGCACGTGCTTATTTTTATTAACATTTATTATGTGTATTAATTGTACAAAATAATGGGTTTCATTGTTCTTTTTGTTGTTGTTGTTGTTGCTTTGTTTGTTTGTTTTTTCGAGACAGGGTTTCTCTGTGTAGCTTTGGTGCCTGCCCTGGATCTCATTCTGTAGACCAGGCTGGCCTCGAACTCACAGAGATCCACCTGCCTCTGGCTCCCGGGTGCAGAGATTAAAGGCGGGCGCCACCACTGCCCGGCTTCATTGTGATGTTTTAACACACGCATTTAGCACACAATGACACAATTTTATTTTTGCATGAGTTTTAGCACATCCCACTCCCGCTTTAAATATCTTGACCTCATTCCGATTACTGTATCACTAACTAGAGAAATTTATTTCTGATAAGGAAGATTTTTTTTAAAAGGTTGTTCTGCCATCTGCTGGACAAACCTGGAATAGTGAGAAATTTGTTAGGAATTAGAAAGACTTTTCCTGGCCTCAATCTCACAGTGCTGGTGCCTCTACTTGGTGGCAGTCTCACTTGGCCGACATGTTCTTTTTTTTTTTTTTTTTTTTAAATTTTGATTTTTTTTTTTTTGTGTGTGTGTGTTCTATCTTTTGCTGCTCTTTCAGTTCTGATTGTTTTTGGTCTTTCAGTTCTGATTGTTTTTGGTCTGTGTGCACGTGCTCGGCCAGAGGTTGACATGCCTCTGTTGCTCTTCGACGTATCTTTTGAGATGGGGTCTCTCACTGAAACTGGAGCCCATCGATTTGGCTCTCTTGGGCAGGCAGTCAGAACCAGAGATTTCCCTGTTTCCACTTCCAGTGCCCAGACTACAGGTGTGTGCCACCGCACCTCTCGTCTTTCTTTTTTATGTGGGTGCTGAGGATCCAAAATCAGATCCTCACACTTGCAACTAATCATCAGTGGAGTCACCAGTTGAGCTCTCTCCCAGTTCCCGCTCTTCTGAGTTTTCAGGGCACATTTTAAAGCTCGGTTTGAGGGGCTGGAGAGATGACTCAGAGGTTAACAGCACTTGTTGTTCTTCCAGAGGGCCCAGGTTTGAGTTTCAGCAGCACGCACATTCACAGACACCTGTAGCTCCATATATTGGGGGATCCAATGCAACACCCTCTTCTGGCCTTTGAAGGCACCAGGCACGTATGTGATACACAGACAAATATACAGCAAAACACCTACCCACATTTAAAAAAAAATTTAAACAACTCAGTTTGAGAAACAGATGAGCTTTATGTTTTGCAACCCCATAATTATGTTATTACTAATGATCTTTATCATTTGGTGTTCAGTTGGAGGTGGAGCTGATGGAACATTTTGGCAGCCTCAGTCTGTACAACGCACATGCCAAGCATCTCTGCTTTGTTTTAGTGTTTTCTGCAGGGGAATAAAGACTGTCTGTTGAGGAAGAGGGTCTCCTCACAATGACACAGAGAATATGTTGGTCCCAAAGGTGATGCTCCAAATACTGGCCCCCAATAACAAGGGCCAGTGTAGGGCAAAAAGGCCACATTTTCTGTGTGTTCTGTCCCTGTCTCTGGACTTGCTGTTAGAAAACAAACGTAAAAGCCGGGCGGTGGTGGTGCACTCCTTTAATCCCAGCACTCGGGAGGCAGAGGCAGGCGGATCTCTGTGAGTTCGAGGCCAGCCTGGGCTACCAAGTGAGTCCCAGGAAAGGCGCAAAGCTACACAGAGAAACCATGTCTCGAAAAACCAAAAAAAAAAAAAAAAAGAAAAAGAAAAGGAAAAAGAAAAAAGAAAACAGACGTAAATGCATCTATTGTGCTGGTCTCTCCAAGGCTGCCCCATCTCCCTTCTCTTCCTCCTTAATCATCTGACAACACTTTTGACTGTACTTTACTTGCTTTATGTATGTATGTATGTATGCATGTATGTATGTATGATGTATGTATGTATGTATGTATGTATGTATGCATGTATTTACAAACGGGAGGCCTTTCTGTGTTGTCCAGGCTGGTCTCCAATTCCTGGCCTCACAATAATCTCTCCACATCGACTGCAGGAGTAGCTGGGTCTGCAGGCATGTGCACTTGTTTATTAATAGCATTTGCTTCTTTTTGTTATTTGTTTCTTCTCGTTGTGATATAAGCTCCCTGAGGCTTGGTCCTTGGTTTCCGTGGGACCCTCAGTGTCTGGAACAATGTCTGCCACCTCCTAGCATCAGAAAATGTTTGTAGGGCCAGTGAGATGGCTCAGTGGGTAGGGGAGCTTACCACCAAGCCTGGTGACCTGAGGTTGATCTCCAGGACACACATGGAGGAAGGAGAGACCTGACTCCTGCAGGCTGCCCTCTGACCTCCACACGAGTATGTGTAGGCACACAGACACATGTAGAACATTAAAATACGTATATTTTAGACTCATTTATTTTATGTGAGTGTTTTGCTTACATGTATGTCTGTGCACCATGTGCAAGCCTGGTGCCCCAGGAAGTCAGAAGAGGGCACCGGATCCCCTGGAACTAGAGTTACAGATGGTTGTGAGCACCTACGTGGGTACTGGGAATTGAACCCAGGTTTTCTGCAAGAACAAGTGCTCTTAACCGCTGAACTATCTCTCTAGTCCCTAGGGGGAAAACAAATCAAACAGTACTTTAAACGAGTAATATCCTGGGCTTTTCACCTTACATAGTCACAGTACCAGTGTCTGACAGACTTGACATTTCTGTCTCAGCTGTCTGTGGACTTGCTGCAGCGACTTAAAGACGGCTGTGTCAGTGTTAGCAAAAAGAGAAAGGCATGTATGAGGTGAGCAGGCCCTGGCCTGGTGCCTAGCTGTCCTACCCAGTCTCTAAGGGAGCAAGTGATTCTAGGAAAGCTTGGGAGAGAGTTCAGAAGCTAGAGAAACGGACAAATGTAAAACAAAAGGGCTGAGTACAAATGTAGAAGAGTTAGGAAACCCTGTCTGAAGCACACAGATAATGAGTGATTTACGTTATCTGTTTAAAATTATATAATTGCAAGCTGGTATATAATAGCAACTGAGAGCAGTCTGATTCCTGAGTTTGAGGCCATCATGGTCTATAAAGGGAGTTCCAAGAGAGCCAGGGCTACACAGAGAAACCCTGTCTCAACAAACAAACAAACAAACAAACAAACAAACAAACAAACAAACAATATATAACAGCTGCCACTTAGCATTTCTTACTTTGGTCCCAGTACTATGTTGAAAGATTGCATTACACATGTATAGCTTTGTTTTTATGATATTTTTATTTTACATAAACAATGCGGGTCCCAGGAGCTTATGTAACTCATTTGTGTGTTGTTGGTTCATCTGCTGAATACAGAGCACAGATCAGTTCTATCTCCACCCCGACATTCCTTTCAGCCAAAAGAGGCTTCCTTTGGTTTGACAGTGTTTTTGAGGCTTACTTGTTGCGTGGCCTACCTCGACTGTAAAACAGAGTAATAATCGTCCTTAACTCACAGAGATGCAGAAATAACTGAGAACACACAGAAGGCACTTTGCCTGTGCCACACTTCAGAAGCATCGAACCCAGGAAGGGGAAAAAACCAGCTTTGTTGCTTCCTTTCATTGTCTGTCCTACGCTCCCTGCTGACATCTTCAATGCACCCCATCGGAGGTTCAGAAAAAAGGCGCAGGTAGCTCCACCTCCTTATTGGAATTTCTTCCGTCCGGCCTCTTCCGGTTAGTGAGGGAAGGATCGTATTTCACAGGACATTGGCGATTTCACTAATGGTTCAGCTGCCCCAACTTTTCCACCCCAAAGCTGGTGAGCGCTGGTGCGTTCTCCATGGAGGATGACAGTCTCTGGGTGCCAGAGGTTTGAGGTTGTAGTCGGAACGCCCTAAGCTTCGCAGAGCCAAGAGGTCAGGACTACAACTCCCAGAGTCCCGCGCTCCAGGGCGCGCGCGTGCGCCGTAGTGGCGGGGGGCGGAGGCGGAGGTGTCCGTCTCTGTAGGTTCAGAGTAGGGTTCTGTTGGCGCGCTTGTGACTCTGGTTTCTCGTGTCCTTCCAGCACTTGTCGAGGTGCCTGGCGTTTGGCAGCATCTCGATTTATGTGCAGGCCAGTCCCTCCTGAGTTAGGCTGTCGGTGAGCGCAGGCTGTGCCTCGGGTCCAGCGTCTTTACGGTCCTTTCCTAGGAACTGACTTGGAGAGGCGTGGAGGGGAAGAGTACGAGGCCTGCCGGTCATCTACCGGGCCCACTCCGGATTTCCAGGAGTCTCCGGAGAAGCTGCCCTCCTGACGTGTGAGGAGACCCGGCCGAGCCCAGGCTGGCTATGAAGAGCGACGCTTCGACTTCTGCAGCCCCCTTGAAAGGGCTCGGGGGCCCTTTGCGGAGCAGCGAGCCCGCGCGTGCCCTGCCGGCTGTGTCACCCGGGGCGCACCTGCTAGAGGAGGCGGCCGACCTGTTGGTGGTGCATCTGGACTTCCAAGCCGCACTAGAGACTTGCGAACGGGCTTGGCAGAGCCTGGCCGAGGAGCCCGCAAGTGGCACGTATGTGCTGGGCTGAGTTCCTTTCTGGATCCTTTTGGGGGAGGAACTCGGTCTCAGAATGTCTGGCGTTGCCAGATTGCACCAACCTTACACCTTGCTTTCACTAGGAGATCCTCTCGGAGAGAGGCAGGTTGCTTATTCTGCCCCCGTTACTGAGGAAGAAAGGGTCACTGTACAATGAAGACGTCAAATCATGCAACAGTTTTGGGGGAAGCCGCAGCCAATTCTTTGCTCACTCTTTCAGTGAGGAAGGACAGGGTGAATGTACATTAAGTGTTCAGTCGTAAGGGGGTTTAGTAAGCAGCCAGCAGGAGGCCTCCTTTGGGGACCCACCTGTTCACTCTCGTCCTTGTCGGATCATGGAAAATGGGGGTCAAGGCAGAAGTGTGGTCTGGTCCTGTGAAGGATTGGATGAATTAGGTTTAGGAAGTCCTTGCTTTTTCTAATGCATAGTCCTCCTCTGGCCGCTGGGGGCACCATTTCTCTGTGGAGTGTAAACCTTCCCTAGAGCTGTGAGCATACTAGGGAGGGAGTTGGCAGAATGAATGGTCAATGTTGATAGCAAAGAAGCCAAACCTGGAGAGATGAGCTGTGGTTTTAGATGGGTGGAGGCCGCACAGCGAATGTTGAGGGCGTTGCTTATGGCCCCCCTGGACGTAGATAATTCTAAAAGGCCAGCTGGGTTCCCACATGAACACCCGGTCAGACACCTGCCTCCAAGCCCACTTCTCACTGAGCACACGGTTGACCCCACTCTCCTTCCGTGCACACCTGTTGGCTGCCTGCTTGCTGCGTGCCATTCCCACGGGATTCCTTTTCAGCTCACCCAATTCTGATTCCACCTGGATGCAAAGATGTGTGTTGGGCAGTAGCTCATTTTTCCTCTAAAAGGTTTCCAGAACTTAACTCCAGGGGGAAGGGCAGCCCAAGAGACCAGTGGTGAGGCTTGGTCCAATAAATAACAGAAAAGGTAAGGGTGGTGGCCTCTGAGTTGGAAGCTGGACACCAGTCCCCGGGTGGAAGAGGGGATGGAGAGAGGGGAAGGCCTTCTAAAGCTGACGTGAGTCTTTCTGCCGACAGTGTTGTGGAGGTGAGGTGCTCCCTGTGTGTTGTGGGGATCCAGGCTCTGGCAGAAATGGATCGGTGGAGAGAAGTCCTGCCCTGGGTCCTCCAGTATTACCAGGTTCCTGAAAAGCTTCCTCCCAAAGTCCTGGAGCTGTGGTAGGTCCTTGTTGCTGACGCTGGGTCAGTGTAGGAACCCAAGTCCTCTCTTGAGTCAGGGTCTCATGACTCCTTTGTCCTCCTCCTCCTCCTCCATCAGTTCCCTTCAAATTCAGGTCTCCCCACTCTGACCTCAGCCTACAGGAGCTAAGGATGAGGAAGGAGGCATTTGGGTGTAGGACAGAAGAAAAGAGAGCTCACACAGGATGGTAGAGAAGCAGGCTAATGAGAGGACAGGGCCACTCAAGCCTCCTGCTGTCTCCTGGGGATTTCTAATTCTTAAAAAAAAATTTTTTTTGGCATCTATTTTGTGTATGTGGGTATGTGTATAAGTGGTGTGTGTGTGTGTATGTGTGCATGTGCGGCATATGTTCATGTGTATATGTGGGTGCACATGCATGTGTGCTTGGAGATCAGAGAGGGCATTTGGGGTCCTCTATCAGTCTCTGCTTTATTCCTTTGAGGCAGGGGCTCTCCCTGAACCTGACGCTCACATTCTTTCTTGGCTAGGCTGTTAGCCGGCAAGTCCCAGTGGTCCTCCTGTCTCTTCCCCCTCGATGCTGGGATTATAGATGCGGATGGACCACATCCTGCTTGTTATGTGGGTGCCAGGCCCCCAACTCGGATCCTCAGGATTGCACAGCTAAAGCTCTTTTTAAAAAATATTTTACTTTTTGTTTTATTTTATTATGTGTATGGATGCTTTTCCTGAAGGTATTACATGCATTGCATGACATGCATTGTGTGCCTGCACTACATGCATGCCTGATGCCCACAGATGCCAGAAGAGGGTGCTGGATCCCCTGAAACTGCAGTTACAGACCTTTGTGAGCCTCCATGTAGGTGCTAAGAATTGAACATGGGTCCACTGGAGGAACAGCCAGTGCTCTTAACTTCTGAGCCATCTTGCAAACCCTTCAGTCTCTAAATTTTTTTTTTTCCAGACAGGGTTTCACTGTATAATAGCCTTGGCTATCCTGGGACTAACTTTGTAGACCAGGCTGGCCTTGAACATACAGAGATCTGCTTGCCTCTGCCTCCCAAGTGCTGAGATTAAAGGCATATGACACCATGCCCTGCTAGCAATCTCTAATACTTAAAAAAATTATTATTGTTATTTTAAAAAATTGTGTGTGTGTGTGTGTGTGTGTGTGTGTGTGTGTGTGTGTGTGTGTGTGTGTGCGCGCGCGAGCATACATGAATGCCAGTGCCCTTGGAGGCCAGGAGATGGTCTCAGATATCCCAGAACTGGAGTTGCAGGTGGTTGTGAGCTGTCCAATATGGGTCTGTGAATCAAACTCCCGTCCTCTGTAAGAGCAGTACGCACTATTAATCATTGTCTCTAACCTCCCAGTTTTTAATTCTTTTTTATTTTTTAAAGATTTATTTATTATGTATACAGTGTTCTGTCTGCAGGCCAGAAGAGGGCACCAGATCTCATTACAGATGGTTGTGAGCCACCATGTGGGTGCTGGGAATTGAACTCTGGACCTTAGGAAGAGCAGCCAGTGCTGTTAACCACTGAGCCATCTCTCCAGCCCCCAGTTTTTAATTCTTGACAGTGTCCCTGTCCCACAGGGTAGAGCTGTAGGACCTGGGAGGGTAGGATTGCAGAAATTTGTGGGTTTGAGAATGAGTCACCTATAGAGAGAGTACTGATTCTTCTCTTTTGGGGATTGTGTTGTTTTGGGGGACACAGCATCCTTCTACACAGCAAAATGAAAGAGCCTGGGGCTGTGCTGGCTGTGGCTGATGCCTGGCTCCAAGACCCAGACAATCAGGGGCTTCCTGAGTACGGATCATTGGCAGAACTCCACCTGCTCCGGGTGCTGCTACCCTTGGGCCGCTTGTCAGAGGCCGAGGGCCTAGCCGAGGGCTCTGCAGCTTTCAGCGAGGAGCAGCGGGAAGAAGCGCTGCAGGCCATCCACACAGCACAGCAACAGCGGACGCAGGAGCACCCGAGGCAGGAGCACCTGAGTTCTCAGGAGCAGCAGAAGCTAAGCCAGCAGGGTAAGACATCAGGGCTCCCTGGCCTCTGCAAAGGGGTCCCATGGTGCCCCCTGTACCTTCTTGACTTTCCTAAGATTAGAAACGTAAGAATTTAAGTCACAGAATGGAAAGCCACTGTATTGCATTACAAACCAAGCTAGGCTTTTTGAAGTTGGAACGCAAGGAGAGTCTACACAGGGGAGGTGTTGCTGGGGTCCCCTGGCCCTGATTTGTCTTCCAAGTGCTGGGATTAAGGGCCGGTTGTGGTAGTGCACACCTTTAATCCCAGCAGGCGGATCTCTGTGAGTTTGAGGCCAGCCTGGTCTATAGAATGAGTTCTAGGACAGCCAGGGTTATCAAGCCAGAAAAACCCTGTCTTGAAAAAACAAAACAAAACAGAAAAGAAAGAAAGAAAAGATGCTTTTCTTTGGGGTCTGATTAGTCATTTCCTTGGGATCCTCTCACTGGATTTTTGCATCCATCATGCTGGCTCTAATACACACACAGCTTAACTCGGTAATTTATGAAATAAAAATGACCTCCTTCAGCTTTGGGTCTTTGTGCCCGGCCTCCTCTCTGCCTTCACTTAACTAGGGCTTTTGAATGTTTTGTTTTTTTCAACTGAGGTCTGCCTTGTTCATTAGTGTGCAGTTGTGCTACCCAGTGGCTTCTGGTCGCATCCTCACAAGGCAGTGGAGTGGGGCTGGGAGTGGGATTGTTCTGTTACAGGAACTTAAAGGCCTTTGGCTCCAAACCGTCTTTGCTCCCCAGTCCTTTCGGTTCCCATTCCTTCAGTCTGTGTGTGAATACTTCCAAGATTAGAACATTACCTGTCTCCCGGAGTGTGCCTTCTGTCTTTTTTAAAGATTTATTTTTATTATTTTAAGTTATGTGTATGTATGTGTCTGTGTATGGATATGTAGGTGCCCATGAAGGCTAGGGACATCAGATCCTCCTGGAGCTGGAGTTATAGGCAGTTGTGAACCCCACAGTATGGATGCCAGGAACTGAACATATAATATGTGTATCTGTAGAAATAATGTGTGAAGCCGGGCGGTGGTGGCTCACGCCTTTAATCCCAGCACTCGGGAGGCAGAAGCAGGCGGATCTCTGTGAGTTCGAGGTCAGCCTGGACTACAGAATAAGTTCCAGGAAAGGCTCCAAAAGCTACACAGAGAAACCCTGTCTCATAAAACCAAACGAAAACAAAACAAAAGAAATAATATGTGTGTGTGTTTTATTATAGAAAAGGTTGCTATGATATCACTTTATTGTGTGGTGGAATAAATAAACTAAATAAAAATTTAGGTATGACAAAAATGATTGTAAATTAAACAAAACAAAAAACAAACACACCAAAATTAACCAGACCAAAATGTGGTGGTATTGTGTTCCCCCAAATATTGTGCATGCTAACAAACTTATCTGGGGTCAGAGAAGAGAACAGCCACAATATTAAACATAGAGGATAGGCAGTGGTAGCACACGCCTTTAATCCTAGCATTCCAGAGGCAGAAATCCCTTTGGATCTCTGTGAGTTCAAGCCCACATTGGAAACAGCCAGGCATGGTGACTCACGCCTTTAATCCCAGGGAGTGATGGCAGAAAACAGAAAGATATATAAGGCGTGAAGACCAGAAACTAGAAGCATTTGGCTGGTTAAGCTTTTAGGCTTTTGAGCAACAGTTCAGCTGAGACCCATTCTGGATGAGGACTAGAGGCTTCCAGTCTGAGGAAACAGGATCAGCTGAGGAACTGTCGAGGTGAGGTAGCTGTGGCTTGTTCTGTTTCTCTGACCTTCCAGCATTCACCCCAGTAACTGGTCTCAGGTTTGATTTTATTAATAAGAACTTTTAAGATTCATGCTACACCAAAAGACTATACAATTCAGTGAACTTCTATACGGTTTGAATAGCCATTCAGAACAGAAGCTATGGAGTTTCACTTTGGATTTTCTACTTCCACATTGAATATATTTTTATGTACTTAGTCACCATCAGAGACAAAGTATCTGTTTCAGAGTAGAACTAGAAAAACAATTGGCTTTATACCTTCCTTCAGCATTTTCTGTCTTTGGACAGCTTGGGGATTGTTAAATTTTCTTCTTTTTGGAATTTACATGGAAGCCTGCTATTTTAATCAGGAAATTATGATCGTGTTCTCCAAAGTCCTCTTCTCTGTGGACCTGCTGGGATCACCTCTCTTCTTTGCTGGCAGGCTGTTGGTTTCAGGAGCTGCCTGTGGCTGCCAGGCCGTCCACCATTGCCTTAGTTAGGTTTCTGTTGCTGTGATAAAACAACCAAAAGCAATTTGGGGAGGAAAGGGTTTATTTCATCTTACACTTCCATATCATAATCCGTCATTAAAGGAAGTCGTGGCAGGAACTGAAGACAGGAACCTGGAGGCAGGAACTGACTCAGAAGCCATGGAGGAGTGCTGCTTACTGGTTTGCTTCTCATGGTTTGTTCAGCCTGCTTTACTTATAGAACCCAGGCCCATCACCCAGGGATGGTCCCGCCCCCTGTGGGATAGGCTCACCCATATCCATAATTAATGAAGAATATGCTCCACAGGCAGGTCTGGTGGGGACATTGTCTCAGTAGAGGTTCTCTCTTCCCATTCTAGTCTGTGTCAAGGTGACATGAAGATTAGCAGCACAGCTGTAACCTCTGTGGCAGGTCCAGGGGCTTCTGTCAGGACCGGCACCACTTGTCTTTGGGCTACCAGTAGTCATGATTTTATTCACAATCCCAGTCTTGATTCTCTACTGCATATATTAAAACCCTTCATTTCTCTGTGTTAATGTGTCACTAGTAAGGCTCTGAATTATTTTACATGTCAATTTGTCACGTGAAGAATGCTGTAAAATAAGGGGCTGTTTTCAGACACACGCTTACACAGCTGAGTGGGTCTTGTGTGCGCTGACTGTGTCTTCATACAGCCTGTCCTTAAAATGTCTTTGGACAGCTGTGGGTGTTGTGTAGCTCAATGGTAGAGTAATTGTCAAGCATCTGCAAGGTCATGGATCCATCCCCAGCATTGCAAAAGCCAAACTCAACCCCCAAACAAACAATGCCATTTTTAGAGCTTTCAGAGTTTTCTTTTGAACTATTTCATGAGCTCTACAAGGAAATCATTCTCGTTCTATTTTGATTGACTCTTCAGCTCTAGCTCAAGGCTCAGAGCCCGGGAAGCAGATTTGCCCGACTCACCCTGCAATGCTCTGTCCCCTGGTCAGGTTCATTCTCCTGGAAGTTGATGTCACTGCTGAGGTTGCTTCGCCAGCTTTGGGGCTCTGTGAAGAGCCACCTCCTCTCTCAGCCCTTCAAAAAGAGCCTCCTGGCCGCCTTGATCCTCTGTCTGTTGGTTCTGCGGTTTGACCCAGGTGAGTGAAGGGTCACCTACAGCAGGGTCTGTGGGAGCAGGTGCTGCTGTGCGGGGGCCACCCCCTGTGACACTGTGACATTGTTCTCTGAGCCTCTTCCATAGAGAATACATGTCAGCCTCACCTGGAAGGAGAGACCAGGCCTAGAACCTAGGAGAGCAGTTGGAGAACATTCACCACCCTGCTGATGGAGTTACCTAGGCCTCTGCTCCATCCAGAGATGATCTCTAGGCAGAATGCAAGATAAGGAAGCCTTCCTCATCATAACACCTGAAATAGTCTGTTGATCCAAGTGTCTCCTGGCTAGTGTGACCTTGAAGTTGTAAATGAAATTCTGGTGCACTTTAGAAGGTGTGGGAAAATAACTGGGAATGATCTTCTGGTTACAGAACCTTCCCTGGTGCTGTGTGCTGGGCCTCAGGGTGCCTAGTCTCTTCTGCTTCACTTGAGAGAGAGAGATGAGCTTTCCGGGTGAGACTTGGGAAGGCACCTGATTTTGTGATCACCCAGATGTGCAGACGCTGGGCCACAGTTAGGGGACCACTATTCGAGAACCACCCCCCCCCCCACAAGGTCCTGCCGTGTAGTACAGAATGTCCTCAAATGGTTTTGTTTCAGCCTCCTGAATGCTGGGAATGTAGGTGTGTATCACTAGGCCAGGTTTTCTGCCTTACTTTCTCTGAGTTGTGAGTTAGTCTCTGCTTTTCTCAAGAATTTAGACTTAGGATAGAATTATGCAACTTTCAAAACCAAGGGGAAATGAAAAACCTTGATATTAGTCCATGCCTTTTCTTTCATTTTTGGTTGAGAAATCCAATAACCAGAGAGGTCAAGTGGATAGACCAGAGTCCACAGTTTGCCTGCTTTCAAAGCTGCCACCTTTTGACTTTAGGTCCCAGCTTTCCTAACTTCCCCTTTCTGTGGTCAGAGTTGGTTTAACCCTTTGCTGGACTCAGAGCAGGAATGTCCCCTCTGGACAGCTCTATTGGTTATACAGAAAAATCACGGGCAGCTTCCAGAAACACTGTGAAAAAGACGGGTGAGCAGCCACACCCGACATGGGAAGCACAGTCTAAGCACTGGAAAAACAGATTTAAGAAAGGGAAGTGTGGTCTGTGTGGTTTATGTCTGTCCCGTACTGTCCGCTCTGTAGGTGTGATAAGAATTTAGAAATTCCTTATGACTTCCCCTAAGCCCTTTTCTGTCACTAATGCTGATCTCCTAAACGGTGACGCAGAAAGCCGTTTGAACTTGGCCGTGCACTGGGCCGCTCAGAGCTTCCTCAGGAGAGGAGGACCTGGGGCTGGGCTGCAAATAGAACTTGGAAGAAGACGGTCAGTTGCTGTAAAGAAAAAGAACATGTGTGGAGGGCCGGGATAGTGTTTGGTGGTAGATGTCACATGTGTGGAGGGCCGGGATAGTGTTTGGTGGTAGATGGCACATGTGTGGAGGGCCGGGGTAGTTTTTGGTGGTAGATGGCACATGTATGGAGGGCCGGGGTAGTTTTTGGTGGTAGATGGCACATGTATGGAGGGCCGGGGTAGTGTTTGGTGGTAGATGGCATATGTAGCACGTGTGAAGCATGGGGCTCCATCCCCAGCCTTAGAGGAATAAATAAATCCCTTTCTCTCTCCACTCCCTCTGCATCGTGTGTGCGTGTGTGTACGTGTGTGCATGTGTGCGCGCTGGCATGGATTCGAGGTTGATGCTGGGTGCTTTCTTACTCTCTGCATCGTTGGCGTCAGCGTCATCATCGTCATCATCGCCAAGACTGGGGATTATCTAGGGCCACATACTTGTGGGGCAAGTGTCCTGCCACTGAGCTCCAGCTCTGGCCTTCCACTT